GCTGTAATTCCAATGGGATAGTTTACCTATTAGAATGTCCATGGGGTAAGCAATATATTGTAAAGCACTGCAGAATTAGTTTGCGCTAAATAAATACCAATAATAATAATAATTTGCTTGGTCATACAAAGAACATGTAAAGGAACTATCATAGGTGGGACAAAGAGCCCGATAGGGAGAGTGTTACCTTCTGTCGCTAATGTAAGCAGTGAGTGCAAGAACAACCGGTATGAGGGCACTGTCATTGTCAATTATCTGTACAGTGGGCACTGGTAATGAACAAGATACTCGCCCTAAAAGTTATACAGGGAACACAGGGAAAACAAGGATGTCTCTAGAATTGCAAAATATGCAATGATTAGGGTGGGGAGTATGTTAAGCTAGGTGATGTCTATAGTCGCCAATTAGCATTGCCAGTTGTGCTTACGGGTGCCAACTGTTTTGTCATGGTAGTGAAATAGTAGTAGACAAGCTCATATATACCAAATTCTAGAGTGTGTCAATGAGACCTGGCTGGATCTGCTGGATCTGCAGGGATGGCCTAAAATGGGGATGCAGCACCAGTGTTGCTGCCAACTGCCCCACGACCATATTTCCTCTCCCACGTCCTCCACGCATCATTACACATTTGTGTTTTCTTGCTCGATGTAAGTGCCATGCGTTCATATGTGTAAAGTTTAGATATCTTGTCCATTAGCTGGGACAGGGAAGGGCATTTTGGAGATTTCCAATGGGTTACAATAAGGTTACACGCTGCCAATATCACAAGCGCAGTCAATTGCTTCTGACCATAAGACAAAGATAGTGGAAATAACAGCAACATGCATTTGGATGCCGTCAGCGTGAAGGTGGGTACATCTAGGTTGTCTAGGACAGAGCGGACCATTTTCCAGAGGGGCTGGATGCCGTCACAAGACCACCATATATGTATAATTTTCCCATAGTTTGAGGTGCACCTTCAACACAGTGGGGATGATTTAGGAACACATGTCCTAGTCTGTGGGGGGTCAAATACCAATGATATAGAAGTTTACTCTGCACCTCTATGTGAGAGAAGCATTTTGTCCATCGGGATAGGTCATTAAGGGCATGTAGCCAGTCCGACTCTGTCAGGGTCATGTCACAGTCCAATTTCCACTGTGTTCTGCATTGTTGGGGCTTGGATGGCGAGAGCTTCTGCCAGGATCTGTAGCAAAGTGTTAGGGCTTTAGGTTTGGTAGGTGAAGACCAACATCTCTCTATAAGTATCTGGGGGGTAAAATAACTGGGATGTGGTGTATGGTGTAGTGATGCAGCGTGGATATTCAAAATGCTTTTTAACTGCAAGTAAGAGAAAACTGTGTGGTTACGTATCTACCATTGTGTCTGTAGCACTGGGAATGGTTTAACCGCACCATCTTCTATGAGTTGGGAAATTTGTGTCACCCCTGCTGTAAGCCAATATTTAAGAGGTATATCTGGTGATATAGCCCTTAAAGTTGATAACGGGGATTTGGTGTGGAATTTGGTTTTATAGCCCATTGCACAAGAAATTCATCCCAAATTGTCAAAGTTATCTGGGTGGTTGGAAACAGGTCGGACCTTTGTCTCTGAAGATGTTTCGGTGACCACATATAGTCTGTGAGTGACTGATCTGTAAACTGTGCCTTCTCCATATCTACTCATTGAATCACGTCAGGCTGTGTGTGCATGGTGATTCTGGCTGATAACATTGCGGCTCTTTAATACAAGCGAATATTCTGCAGTCCCAAACCCCCAAGACGTGGTGGAGCCTGTAATAGGGGTGCGGACACACGAGGTCTCTTCCCCTCCCAGATAAAAACACTACAAAGCTTTTGCAGGGATTTACAATACTGAAATGTAAGTCTGACGGGTAACATCCTAAAAATATACAGGATGTGGGGAAGGATCATCATCTAATAGGCGTTAACCCTTCCGAGCCAAGAGAATGTTACACGTCTCCATTTGTTAGTTTCAGTTTTGCATAAAGCTAATAGAGGATTATAGATTAGTTTAAATATGACAGGCATGGTGGGTGCAATTTTAACCCCTAAGTATGTAAGAAAGTATGATCTGCTAAAAAAAAATAAAAAAATAGGAGGACTGGGAATACCAATTATAGAATATGCAGACGCACCTTTATTGGCACATGTGGTGTGCCATCCTATGGACATTCTGCACGCTGAATGAGATTTTCGCATCCAACGTTGCAGAAGTGCCTCTAGCGGCTGTCAGGAAGACAGCCACTAGGGGCTGGATTAACCCTGCAATGTAAACATAGCAGTTTTTCTGAAACTGCTATGTTTACATCTGAAGGGTTTAAACCTAGGGGATCTGGCACCAAGACCACTTCGTTGAGCTAAAGTGGTCTGGGTGACTATAGTGTCGCTTTAATGATAATTTTCAAATAGTCGAAATTTTTTATAAAATGTTTAAAGAAAATGATTATAAACATTTAATAACAAAATGTCTTGAAATCATTAAAATATGTAAAAAAGATGTCCTAATTACTGCTATAATAAGATGGGAGGAGGATTTACAGATCCAAATTAATGAGGAAGAATGGAATAAAGCATTAAATCTATGTTATAGAGTGATACACTGTCTGAACCTTAATAAAACACAGTATAAATTGGTAAATCGTTGGTATAGAGTCCCCAAAAGTATTAATAGAATATACTCAAAAGCTCTACATAATTGCTGGAGATGTGGGGATCAATATGCTGATTATATGCATATATGGTGGTGCAAGATTCAGACAGTGTGGTTTGACATCTCTCAGAGATTAATTAAAAACTTCAGATTTTATTGGAATTTAAGACATGTTCAAGCGTTATTACATTTACATTTTCCGAAACAAAATAATCAGGAAAAAAAATTAATATTACATATTTTAACTGCTGTAAAAATTTTAATTGCAAGAAATTGGAAATCCCTAACCATTCCAACTTGGCAAGAAATTAAGAATCAAACAATTATACAATTAGAAATGGAGAAAAGAATATCTCACCAAATAAATTGGAACAAAAAAGATTAAGAGTTATGGAGGTAATTGGTTAAATATTGTTTAAAAAAATGAGTTCTGAGACAAAAGGGTTAGAAGGATCAAAAAGAAGATTTATTAAAAGGAGAAAATGTATGGAAATTGGGACACATATAAAAGCCCCATACAATAAAAGAAAAATAATATAGAGGGGTAAGGGAAATGAATAGGAAAAAATGAATAGGAAACAGGAAAAGGGATATTTAGCATTAATATGCTGTTTTTTTCCCCTAACATCTTCTTTATTAAGACAAAAAAATTATTATATATGCCCCTGGAACGGGGAAGTATATAATGGAGCGGGGGGTTATGGAGTACGCCCAGATAGGAAAATACAACCTGTGTGTCCACAATCTGATATAGTATAAATCTACAAATAAAAAGGACAATATATGGTGAAGTACATAGGGATAAAATAAACCAGTTCCACGAGGTAGAGAACTTACAAAAACATCAAGATCATTGCATACCGACTCTACCCGTGACCAAAATGAGTCAACTGGGTCAACCCGCCACATTCCATACTATCCCAGGAATAATATATGGTGCCAGTGAAGGTTTTTGATTCCTACCTCCTCACCATACCGAATATCGCATCTCTTCCGCTACTGTCACTTAACGGGACTATCCTCACTACCTCTAAGTTCATGTTATACGTACGGTTATTGTTAACAAGGCTCGGTATGAACCCTAGCCTTTATTCAGGACACTCGTTTAGGATAGGGACCACATCTATGGCATCAAACCAGCACGTTCCAGTCCATCTCATTAAAACTCTAGGTCGCTGAAAGTTATCAGCAAATGCAACATACATACCCTAAACAGTACAGGGAATACGAAGGGCATTCGTTAAAATGTCATCTTAATGCACTTACGTTGTATTATGTTTTTTACTCAATAAATGTATTTTGAGCATGATATGTATTCCTTTTTGCCCACTTTATTTACTGGCCTACAGCATACATCGGTTTCGGCACACTTCAACCGACTTTTTCCCATCACAGGTTTGCTAACAACAATCTTACTTCATATCATAATTAATGTTGCCCCAAACACAAATTGGAAGGCTGGCCTGAAGTTGTGGGAGAGGCTTATAGATCTTTAAGAGGGACTCCCCCCTTCCCTACCCTACAATGATTGTTCTGATCAGCTGCTGCCCCACCCTCCACTCCCTTTATTCACCATACTCTTCTAGTGTAGGCCTACTTTATTTACTGGCCTACAGCATACGTCGGTTTCGGCACACCTCAACCGACTTTTTCCTATCCCAGGTTTGCTAACAACAATCTTACTACGTATCATAATCAATGTTGCCCGAACAAAAATATATATATTATCTGTGGTCTGTGCAATAGGATGATTGGATCGTTGGCATAATAATTAATAATTGTGGCAAAATGGTGGGCATTTAAACCTTAAAACACACCCACAATTACAAACTAATAATTATCTTTGTATTAATAATCAGGATGTCATAATACCCAATAGGGTAATGTAGTGGTGATGAAAGTTGGTTGTGTATTTATGAAATTTATTGTGTCCAGATATTCACCTTGTGTCAGATAGGTTAATTTATTTTATACCTAGTGACTAATCGAAATGTAACAAATTCTAGCTAGATTCTAGTGTACCTCTAATGTGATCTGACTTTGCCCAAGTGACAAGCATGGACAATTAAAGCGGCACTGTACTTTTTCAACATTTCATAAGGATAGGAAAGCTCTTTTTAACAACATTGTGTATATGCAGTATTTGGTAATGGTTTTCTGCATATATCTATAAAAAAAATCCATAAAAACCTGCATTCCAGAGTCACTTGTATTCCAAAGCTTATCCACAATAATATAAAGCCATAAGTTCCATGACAGCACTCCAGTGACTTTCTAAAATTGTAGAAAGTTAAACGTAGCTTTTATTTACATATTACAAAAATTAAAAATCAACGTTTCAGTTTAACAACCAAACCTTCATCAGGATTATCATAGTCCTGATAAAAGTTTAGTTGATTGATGGGTAAAGGTATCATAAAAATGCCTTAGAAACATGTGCAAGATTACCTATAGAGATATCTATCCTCTGCAGACCCTGTTTTGTAGTGACAACAGCTAAAGACAGATGAAGTCACCAGGAGATGAAGAAAGTGACTGCTCCCCGTCCGTTACCTCCACATAATCTGAAGTTTACTTGTGCAGTCTTTGCAAAAAAATGTGAAGCCCCCGTAAGTAATACTGACACTTTAACACAAATTTTGTCAACACAGTGCGGCTACTTTTAAATTTTAAAGATCAGCAAGGTAGTTGTAATGACCACTTATTTGTTTATTATGAACAAAAACAACCAAGTACATCCTGTTTAACAGAAATGCACAGAACTGAAGCATACAGATGCTTTGGTATTTTTTTTGCCATGCTGTTGGAGGTACATGGATGTATATACTTGACAGTATGTAAAATTAATTCACATGCTTAGAATATACATGACAATAATTAATTCATCAAATCAGTTCCTGCATGTGATTGATTGATTAATTGATCTGCTCTGGCAGCATGTAATTTTTACACTATTTCAAAAAGTAATCTTAAAGTGTTTGGCACTCATAGCTGATTGGAGAAATATGGCCCCAGTGGCAAAGCCAGCTGCACTGTTCATTAAAATACATTTAATTCAATTAATTTTCATTAACATAAAGCTTATTGTAACAAGTGCACCTTTTTATTGCATATTTGCATCATATAAATTTGTTTACATTAAAGAGGAAACTATAGATTAACCATAACACTCCATACTCTTTAACATTCTCAGATGTACCTAAAATGTAAATGTGATGTAACTAAAATGTAAATGTGATTATATCTTGGATGAACTAATAATAAGATATAATAAAAAATTTCCATCAGGATGAAGGAGTGCTTCATTGCCATCTTCACATTGTGATGTATCGAACTCAAGCATTGTGTTCCAAGAGTTCTCAAGAGAAAATGGAAGGCAAATATGATTTCAGCTGCCTGCTAATTTACAATAACCATATTTAACATTTTGTGTCTTGTCTGTCTGTTATTCTACTGTATTTCATTGTAATGATATTTTATGAAAAATGCTAAAGAAAACCAAAACCCCAAACCACATCACTTGTGACTGTCTCTGTTTTGCAGCAAATCCACAGGATGTTCTGGAAATGCCTCTTAGCCAATTCTAGATCTCTTATTGTTTCATTAGGTACTCTGTTTGCATCCCCTTTGCAGTTTTTACACAGATAGATGTATATATCCATGCACCCATCCATCCACCCACCCATCCATCTATCCATCCATCCACCCATCCATCCATCCATCCATCCATCCATGTATCCATCCATCCATCCATCCAACCATCCATCCATCCATGTATCCATCCAACCATCCATCCATCCATCCATCCATCCACATCACACAATGAGAAAAATTGAGCTGTCAGCACAGGCTTGAGATGAGACCAATTAAGACAAATGGATGATAAACTTATTGCTCTCATTAGCCTAAAGTGGTCTATATTTTTCTCCCATATGCTACCAATATCTTTCTGTTGACTTATTCCCTTCCTATATTTAAACATTAGTGCTCCTACCTAATTTTATTGTAACAGAGATAATATGCGCTCACAAATCCTGACACAATATGAAAGTGCCGAGTTTCTAAAAAATTAGGTTTTAAATTTTCAAATAATACTGTTCTTGGAAGATAAACTGTACTTGAGACCACAGAGGGCTATAAACAGGTACTGCTATAAAGTTAGGGTTGAGCCAAAAAGTGTTTAACTTATGTGCATTCAATACAAAATAACAAGTCTATTTTGCATGTAATCCTTTATTGGAAACAATAATAAAAAGTGATTATAGGTTTCCTTAACAAGTTCATCTTGACATTGATTGAAAAATGTAACCTATTTTACATTGCGACCAGGTGTGGACTCCTAGGTCCATCCTCTTCTTGTGTCCTTTATCCACTTTTTATCATCAATAAAGTATTTGAAAAGAAAAGAATGCTGAGAGATATATCCATATGGATCCATCTCTTGGAACCTTGCTTACAGACTCTTTTATTTTAAGTGAAATCGAGTTAGTGGATTCAGAGAGGAATTGTCCTTTGGTATTCCTGTCTCTGTTGAAGAATCTTAGCTCTGTACTGAATGTAAAGGAAAATAAATATATTGCAGCCATTATTTGTCATGCTGATCACAAATAAGGTGTCAAATTACAAGATTTTGTACAGCTACATTTTGCATTGTAGATATATCATCTTGAGGGAAGATTGCTGGTCACTTTTTTTTGTCAAACATTGAGGTGTTAGGTTTTTAGTAAGGTGTATGTACCTTGGCATTGTTGCATCTGATTAGTAGGCATGTTTTGAAAACCATGCATTATAGCTAGTGCTAAGTTTATTATTTGTTATTCTACTTTCTCCTCATGTGGTCTAGGAATAAATGTTTGATAACATATGAATTTCCTAATCTTCTATTTAAATTTGCCTTTGGAACAGTATATAGAGTTTACTTTGTTCCCATTTTGAATGTGTCCATATTTTTTGATTATACATTGTTAGGAATCCTTTCTATTGTGTCCAAAAACATTAAGAGGAGCACGGTGATTGTTTTATTTGTTGGTGTTGCTTGACATTCCCTTGGCTTCAAGCACTAGTCCCCTACATCTTTCATCTCTAGAGTTGATGTTTTTAAAGTGCAAAGTTGTATCTAGATTTTGTGACGTTTTGTGGTTGTTTGACAATGAGACAAGGGTAGACTCTATGCATGTCAAGTTTGTCTATTGAAACAAACTGTTTTTGTGTTTGGTTAATTTCTTTTTGGAGTTATTTACTAAATGGTTGGGTTTTCTCATGCAACTGGCAATCATTTCAAGAGTAATTGTTTTATTTATGTCTATGTTTCTCCTCAAATGCCTAAATGCTATATACATAAGAGTAACTTATGAACTCATGGAATGGTTAGATTTGCGATTATGATATTAATTTTATTCTGTATAATCTAAGCCACTAAGCTCTGCCAAAAAAAGCAAATAAACAAATAGATGGAATATTGTTTAAAAAGATAATAAAGTAAATTAAACTATACTTATGTGCTGAGAAAGTAATTAATGTTTATAGACATGGTGCCTGCTTATGGAGATTGCTCCAAATTAATTTAGTTTTCCATCAATTTATCTACACAGGAAAATGACAGTCATCATATCCTGACATTGGCTCATATCCTGTCATTGGAGGATCAACCATATACCATTTGTATGAAATGGACCATTCACATACAATGAGAACTCACTAAGAGATAGACAAGCTCTGTTCTTTTCCGAGAGCTTGCTTGGGAGAATATTTTTAAGGGACATGTCACACTGCAATTTAATGGCACATGGTGTAGTTTCTCATTCTCTAATGCTGTCAGTCATGTTTGTGCAGACTATGGTAGAGGATATATTTTATTTTCTACCTGGTCTGAGAGCATGCTCCCTGTCCTCTACTGTGGTCCACGTGGCCATGCTACAAAAGGGAGGTAAGCAGGCACACAAGTGGTGGAGAGGGGGGAAGAGACCACAAAGAGGCTGGAGACAAACAAAAGAGGCTGGAGGGGGATAAAGAGACACGCAGAGCACAGGGGAAGGTGAAAAAGAGATATACAGAGGAGCTGGGGGAGGGAGGGGGACACAACTGGGGAAGGGGACAAACAGGTGAAGATGTACGTTTTGGAAGGGTGGCGACAAGGTCTCTGCCTGTGTAGCCAAAAATTCTTGCACCAGTCATGCATATTGTTTATTTCTATCTCCACCTTTGGCTGATAAATGTACAGAATCAAACTTCAAGTTAAAAAAGTGTGGTCTAATTTATACTTTCATGAGGTATTCTTTTACACAATATTGCAATCCAAACACCCCACTTTTCAATATCTAGATAGTTTCAAGCTGTTCTGATATTATGGTATGGTCTTTGTTTCAATACACCACAAATGTTCTCACATTACTTTGGAAAATATACTTGTAGCATTGAAGTGTTTGTGGGCTATCCATCTCATTTTCAGCAATTAAGGGAGTAATATGAGTTCATCTTGAAGCATGCATGATCAGTTTTCGTGAATTCTAATTCCTCTTATACCAAGTAGGAACAACAGCGCATTGCTTACAAATAGGGATCGACCGATTATCGGTCTGGTCGCCGATATTCTGTATTTTCGGCAATATCGGTATCGACCAATAAAGATACCGATATTGTCCCAGCAAATCTCCCGAGTCCCACAGGGGAGCTGAAGGGAGCTGCTGGGAAGGTAAGTAAGAGTTTGCTGTGCCCCAACTGCACAGTCCATGTCACTGGACCACAAGGGAATGCTATATCCCCCCTCCCTGCCAGGTAACAAGCAGGGAGGGGGGACTAAACATTTTTTTTTAAATATTTTAAAAAAAAATTAAAATAAAAAATGCCCCCTCCTCCTCCTAAATTACATACCTACAGAAACACAAACACTGCATTATATACACATACTACACAAACACACTGCATTCACTATACACACACACACTACACAAACACACACACTCTGCATTCATATACACACACTACAAAAACACACACACTCTGCATTCACTATACACACTCTACACAAACACACACACTCTGCATTCACTATACACACTCTACACAAACACACACATGCACCCTGCATTCATGTACACACACTACACAAACACACACACACTCTACATTCACTATACACAAACTACACAAACACACACACTCTGCATTCATTATATACACACTACACAAACACACACACTCTACATTCACTATACACACACTACACAAACACACACACACACTCTGCATTCATTATATACACACTGCATTCACTATACACACACTACACAAACACACACTCTGTATTCAGTAAATACACACTACACAAAACACACTGCATTTACTATACACAAACTACACACACTGCATTCACTTTACGCATACTATACACACACTGCATTCACAATACACACACTGCATTCACTTTAAACACACCACACACTACATTCACTATATACACACTACACAAACACACACACTCTGCATTCATTATATACACACTGCACAAATAAACACTGCATCTACTACACAAATACTACACAAACGCACACAGCTCCCCTGTCTAAGCACACTGCATCCACTACATGTGGCATGTGTATTTTGTGCATTTACCTTTAGAAATAGTTTATTTTTTCAAAATGGTAAATGTACAGAATATCGGTACGTTATCGGCCATTGGCCTGAAAGTTCACAGATTATCGGTATCGGCTCTAAAAAAAATCCCTACTTACAAATGCACTAGATGCCTACTTATATGACTGTGAATACTACATGTTTTACCCTAGGTGTTTTTGAGGATTTTCTTGTGACTTTTTGTTTTGATCAAAATTTTTAACGAATAGAGACAGATTAAGTATTTATAGAAAGGCAAGGAAAGATTATTCCTCCTAGCAAAACATTATTACTAGACATGGAGATTCATTTTGTTTTGAACTAAAATTTGTCAGAATCAGGTGATCATCTGAATTTCTTAACTAGCCAATATGTAGACAAATCACAAACAAAACAAAACACACAGTGGATGAGCTTGTTCATTTTGATTTGTGATTTAGAATTAATTCCATTGTGCCAAAAAAGGATATGATTGATGGAAAAAGGATTGTTGATGGCTAGGGAACAGCCACTAAATGTCGATTTTATTCACAGATCAATTGAGAATAGAGGGAAACAAGGAAGAGCATTAAAACAAAATCTATATATTATATATTTAAGAAACATAGAAATACAGATTTTTTTAATTATCCTCCTCTTTTTACCTCTATTGGTTAATTTTTCTCAGTTGATCTGTAAACCAAATAGCGAGAAAATGCACCATATGTATTTTTATATTATGTATATCTTTTGCAGTACACTGACTGGCTCAATTGCATGTCCTTTTGGTTCATCTGATTCATTTTCTGGATAAGCCATATGGCTAAAATTTGCCCATTCCGAAACTGGTTTAATTTTCATATTCAGTGGTTTGGCCTAAACAAATTTCTTCACCATACACAAGTCTAATTATTACTTCTAAAACGGAATACTAATAACTCCCAGAACAACTTCACCAATTATTTTAAAAGGACATTATAATAAGAAAACTTAGTAGGAAAGTTTGGTTATACTTTTCTTATACTGTGCAGCACAGAGTTGGTTTGCCCAGTTTCACAAACAAGATCCACCCCACTGACAAACAATATGTAATAAAATAATGTGCAATTAAATGAAAACGAACACTTTATCAGTCTAAAATATTTAACATTTATGGTAAGTGCAGTACTTCTAATCTTTCACAAACATTATCTCTTTCATCGCCTTTATTAGAAAGGCTAACACAAACTTTCTTAGCAAATTGTACTTTTCACAAACTTATCGAGGTACACTGAAAAATAAAATGTGTAATACTTTATGGCTGTGAATTAAATAAATATGAAACAAAAATGTTATAGAAGAAGAGCATTTATCATTTCTTAGCCTTCAGAAATTACTTCCTTTGTTTGTAGCTGTCAAAACTGTGTGGTTTCACATCAACTCCAGATGGCAAAAATATAGCCATGTATGTTTCAACAGGAAGATTCTCTTTAATTCTACATTCCAGTGTCACACTTATATTTCATTTTGGATGGGTCTTATTCACTCACTAAGTGCTTTCCTTAATAGGTCATCTGGCATATCGTAGAATCCAGTTGCTAGATGTCTGGTACAAACCCAATACACAGAGGGAGACAACATTTGGTTAGGAAAAGTTTTATGACCGCAAATACACTGGGAAACTGTAAATGGAAATGGAACTCTAACTCAAAAACAATTGGTGTAAATCTAATTTGCCAATAATTTATTATACTTTCTACTATGGCTTGCAACTGACAAACAAATCTCACAGTTTAATGAAGATAATCATTCATTCATAATAAAGGATATTTTTGTGATCATGTATGGTGTAAGTGGTTTAATGCGGACACTTTAACAACTGTCAATCTGCTAGTGCATATAACTCTTTTTTTATCCGTTGTTATGTTATGCTAATCCTAAAATCACTATCTTTATAAACGTCTTTGTAATGCATGTGTTGGTAGAATTTATTTGCAAATTACATTATAAATACATTTTAAAACCATTGCAGCTTGCATGCGTTTTGGTTTTTGGACATTTTGTTTCATCCTTTACAGCAATAAATCCTTCTGGGAACAATTCATTGGGACATAACAATTATTGGTAATCAAAGCTTCAGATGCCTTGGTTTTCATGAAAGTCCAATACATAGATTGAAATGTCAATTATCAATAAAAAATGTTAATTTGACCAAAATCTCATGCATTTCTATTATGTAAGAGTGATATGTGTAACCCATAGCAAGCAGAGGATAATTGCCATCTTTTTTTATTGAGTGCAAGAGATCTGTATATGCGTACAGCAATACACCCATATGCATATGGGATTCCTTTTTCATGCTTAAATCTAAATAACAATACATACATATTTTATGATAAATGTTGGTGTTCCCATACAGAGTTACTGAGTAATAGGCTATCTGTGATTGAAACATTGTTAAAGTGGCTAGATGGAAAACAAAAAAAGGGCAGCTGGTATAAAAAAAGGTGAAAAAGAGGTAGTGGAAGAAGATTAAGGTGGAAGGAGAGAAATTTGGGGAAATGCGTACAAGATACAAGAATAAAAATATAAATATGAAAATATACCAAATGCAAAAATAATTATCAAAAGTAGAGCATTCACCTGTAATATAGTCAAACTGTACTGGTGCATATGAACAGGTAACATTTTTGCCACAATATTGGCCTCTCTCAAAAACCTCAGCTTTGTGAAGACTAATAACCGATTGTTACAGTTTTGTTGGATTTTGGTTGCTTTTTCAAATTCAAGTGTTGATGTGAACTTTCATATATCAAATAGAAAATAAACACCCCAGAAGATGTAATGGGAACAATACAAAGAAAAAAAGGTTTAACACTTAATTAACTTTAATGAGAATGTCCATGCTCCCCAATAAAAGAGAATCTGTCAAATATTAAATGATAGTGCTGTCTAGGCACTAATCAGATTTTTGTGACGACTTAGGAGGAAACATGAAAAAAAGATTCACAATTTTTCTGAACTAGTGCTTTTATCCAACTTAGCTATTTCTTCCTAAATTTAAAAAGTCAATACTCATGGTGTAGTGAATAGACCTCAGTATGTATCTGACTTTTTTAAAATCTGTCTTTTTTACTGGAAGAGTATACACGAAAACGCTAAGTAATGCATGGTGAATCAAAATGCAGCACACACATTGCCATTACATGAATTTCCATAAATTTGTTATGTATATAATAGAACAAGACAAGTCAAAAAGACACAGGTAAAAAAAAGTATATATCAAGCACCAAACATTAAAAGACAGGGTTATACACTAAAGACAGATTTTTGGGAATTCAAAATGAATTCAAAATGAATTCAAATTAAGTCCAAAACTGCTGAATTGGACAAATTCCTCAAGTCAGTTACGCTTTCAGTTCAACTGCTTTGGTCTAAATTTCTAATTAATTTTAAATTCAGTTTGAATTCCTGATGATTATCAGTTTAGTAAATAACACTGAGAGAGTAACAAAGGAGCATGGACTCCAAATCCCAGAGGGAATTACACGTCGGCTACTGTTTAGTAAATTCAATTTAACAGAGTTTAATAAAAAGTGGTAAAATATAAAAATGATAAGGGACAGGGCATTAAACGCTTGTAAGAACATGGCTTTTGAGTACTGTGTTTTTCCGCTATTCAATAAATCTTGGCGTTATTAAATGAAAGACATGTTGTCATTCCCTTAAGGGGTTTGGAACTCCAAGCTCATTTCTTTCTGTCTGTTACAAGACAACTGTTTCCGATAGTAACACCACTGCTTTAGTGCTCCAGGCAAATGGCAAGATTTACTTTAGTGATACCACACGAGGCCTGTTTTATTTTCTTTGCGCAATGGTATACGTCTGTATTAAAATGTTAAAGACCAGGGACATTTTACACAGGAATAAAAATCTGTAATATACAGACCTTGTGCATACACTTACATCCTTCTCATTTTGTATCAGCAGGCCTACGGAGCCCTGTATTCAGTCAATGAATGACACAGTGCCAGCATTATTTACTAAAGTGACAATTTAATGTGAAATCAAAGTTAATAAAAAAAAATTAAGATTAGACTTACTGAAATCATTGCTGAGCTGGATCATTTTGACCTTAACGTTGAAATTCACTTTGAATTCAATTTGAAGTCTCACTTTAGTACAGGACTGTCCAACCTGCGGCCCCCCAGATGTTGCTGAACTACAACTCCCATGATTCCCTGGCTATCTGTTTCATTGAAAGAATCATGGGAGTTGTAGTTCAGCAACATCTAGGGGGCTGCAGGTTGGACAGGCCTGCTTTAGTAAATAATCCTGTCAGTGTTTTGTTAGAGGTTTTTTTTTATTATACCATTCTTATAACAAAATTGTCACTGGTTATAAAGAGTAACCTGGGGGCCTCTTTAAAAATAAAAAAAAATAAAAGTTATATGATATACTATACTTTGTTATATTATTTAAACCTTTTTCAAAGGTTTACACAGTGAAGCTAGGAAACAAAGTATATTTGCATATCTATATACACAAGGAAGGGAGAGGAACTTACTTGTGACCTCTCCCTCCATTGAAATCCGTCTCGGAGGCATGCAGGTTGTTTGAAGGCACTTGCTCAAGTCCACTCATCACGGCTGAAAACACTCGGAACAATGCAGAGTTTGTTACAAACTGAATAATCTCTGAATTAACTCAAACTGTACTTGAGTTGAGGTGGAGTTACTTAGCAAACAATTCCTGAAATGAATAACAAAAAAGCCATGATGGCCGCATAGGCTGCTAGAGGGTACATTCAGAAACAAATAAATAAAAATAAAGGAACCAGAGTCATTCTGGGGGCTTCCATGTATATCAGTCCAGTATTGTTCCTACAGATACATTGTTATTGATACTGCATTATGCAGGTCTATTCATTGAAGCAACATGGCTGCAGTTCAACAGCTCTCCTGGCCCTTAGCATAAGATAAATCATGCAAAGCACAAGTTAATGTTAAAAAATAATTTTCAGTTTTAATGTTAAGGATTTAAACTGTGAAGAGGCCAATATGATTGGGTTAGATTTATCAGCCAGATATTTTGTCCATTTTCATTTTTCATTATAAAATGCATTGCAATGTAAATAACCTTTGTTAAACATACACTCTGGACTGGAGCTGATTTATTCATTTTAAAGCATTATACAGACAATGCCTTCAATATGTATGCACATGCATTAAACATATGCATAATACAAATACACTTACATTTGATGTTGCTGAATTTTCTGCAAAATTCCATTTACTTTACTGCTTTTGAAATTTATCAATCCACTCGGAAGTGACTCAGACAGTCATGCTTACTAACTTCATATAGAGCTTGAGCTTATCCCATAAGCCTACATTATGAGCACAGCAAAGCTTTCTGGGAACTGTTGTCCAATTGCCATATTTCTGTTGTAGAGCTCTTGAACACTTGAACTTCACTTCCTCAAAATCATTTACAAAAATACCTTTGGAACAAAAAAGGGAAACACTGCAGCTTGGAAGTGAGAGGCAGTAAGAGTGAAATGTTGCAAAAAAAATAAATAAAACAAAAATAATAGTTATTACTATAATAAAAATGCTAAATAATATTATTGAAACATAAATCCAGCATAATTAGCAGTAACTTAACCTGCTCATTGCACCTAGCATTGGATTCATTAGTAAAAAATCATTTTAATGTCACATTGTAAAGTCACAATATTTTATTTATATATATGTATATGTATTTGCTGCCTAAGGACATAGATAAAAGAATTAGGGTATATGAGCATTGGTTTATTATACAAGATTTTCAAAATATTTCTTTAACTTCACATTATTGTCATTCAAGTTTCATCACTGTTTCTATGTGGGCCCTGGGGACCATCAACATTTTTTTGTGTCTAAATATCTGTTTATTTCGAGGTCCTTTCGTCATTTTTTTTTTTGTATGAGTCAAATATAACATAGAACAGCATAGTACACGACACGCAGGTCTGTATCAATTTAGTGTGAAACCATGATCTCACAGGTTCCGTGAACATTTAAGCAACATGTGAGACACACGGTCGCAGGGGTCGCAGCTGCGACTGGGCCCGTCACTCCAGGGGGGACCAGCTGCCCTGCGAACCCCTGCAACCGGGTACCCGCCGCCTTATTTTGCGGCCCCCGCCCACACGGCAAACCGCCGTTCAAAGTGTCCATTGGGTGGCCCACCTGTGTAGCTTCTATTTCTTTCCACAGTTTAATCACACCCCGTTTGGACCACTCTACTATCCTTTGCAGATGAGTGGCTTGATAGCATAGCTTAAAGTCCGGGAGAGGCAGAACCTCTTTCCATGTTTGTCAATGCGAAGATGTCGTGTTGTATGCGGGCTTTGGATTTGTGTCAAATGAACCTCAGGATCAGCGTGCGCAATGTGATAAATGTTTTTGGAATGGTTATCGGTATGGTTTGAAATAGGTAGAGCACCCATGGTAAGAGGTTCATTTTTACTATACCTACCCTACCGAACCACGAGAGGTGTGGCAATGACCATTTCTTCAGGTCCTCCCCCAGCCGCATCAAGAGTGGCTGGAAATTGGCCCGGTAGAGCTGGGTGCATTCCTTTGTGCTCCAGATCCCTAGGTATTTCAAGGCCGATTCTGTCCATTTGAAGGCAAAGAGGCGTTGAATGTATATGATCTGTTCTTTTTCGGGAAAGACACGTTAATTATCATAGATTTCGAGTAATTAATTTGAAGTTTGATAGCAAGCAATATGTGTCAAATTCTGTCATTTGAGCGGTCTGGGTTGTCACAAAAAATAGTAAGTCATCTGCGTAGGTCACTACGGTATGGACTATGTTGCCTATTTTCATGGACCATCGA